CAGGAATCAAAACCATAAAGCTAAACTTTTGAATGATTCTGTAACCAATAAGGGTAACGTCATGAATTTTTTTTACATTTCATTTATAACTTCCATGGGGTTTGCGAGGGATAGGAATTGTACAGAAACAGATCCTTGGTAATGAGGGCTGCCTCCCAACGCGGTGCCAAGGTTGAGTAGATGAATTTATTCAAAGAAACTAAATGCACTCACTAAATCTTTGAAGAAGGTGGTCCCCTTAAAAACCAAATTCTTTTTATTTTTCTTTTCAATACATGCGTTCTTAGGAATGGCCTTTCCCTTGTTGGCGTTTGGCCATCGAAAGTTGGAGCCAATGCCCATTATCCCTTATTATTTTGAGGGGAAGTCATGGGCCAGCAAATTCTCTTCTTGAGAGTTTACGGGTTCATAAGCTACAAATCTCATACAGCACCGGGGCCAGCAGAGTCGTACTGGGACAAAACTTTATCCAAGAAGATCCTGGGTCACGCATCAGTGTACCATCAGCAGCAGTTTCTTTTTTATATTTCACTTTAGTGTGAATGCTGCTAAAAAAGGAGTGGCAGGGACCCTAGGGATAGTAAAAGCCGTCTCCTCTAGTGGTGGTAATTAGATTTAGCCGCTGAGGCGATTCAGAGAGGCGAAAAAAAAAAAAAAACCATGTTCTGCCACCTACGAGATCCATTATAATTTCATTAACAATGCGTACTTCCCATGCCCAACGGTAGTAAAAATAATAATATAAAAACAAATTGTATTTATGTATATTTATGTATTACTCTTGATGGCCCGTTCCATTGGAGTAATATCCATAAAACCACGAAGAACAGAAAACAAAAATAAACGTGGTGGTATGTGGGGTCCCTTTTTGGGTGGGGGATATGTTTGATCGTACCTTCCTAATACACACCATGGAGTAAAGGGACGTTTGTGGTGGGTGTGGTTTTTTTTTTTTTGGTGATAATGTTGTGGGAGAAGAAGAGGCGAATTGGCATTCTGAGGGAAAAATAAAATAATAGTATTAAGGATAAATAAAGAGTTAATATGTGTGTGAGAGAGTAATTGTGTGTTGATTCTGTTTGTAAAGAGTGACATGGTATTACAGTGATGTATGCAGTCATTTTTGTTATGGTTGTGAGTGAGTGGATTTTGGATTCCAATTGTGGTGTTGGTATAAATATTATGGTGATGCATTGGTTTCTTTTTCTTTTTCTGTTTGGAAGTGTGTTGATTATTATTGTACAGTCTCTTTGTTTTGCTGATGATTTGTGGTATTGTTTTTGTTTGTTGCCAGTCGCACACTGTATTTTTGGTGTATTTTGGTGTTCAAACTGCCTGGTAATGATTTTATTGTAATGAGAATACAGAGACTTTGTGTGTATGAATGCCGAGTAAGATATTGGAGTGTGTGTAGAGACGTTTACTCAATATTGTTTTGATACCATTTGTTTTCCACCTCTTCTAAATTCAAGGTGTTGTTTCAATATCTGTGTAACTCTGGGTGTGTTTTATTGTGTGAGTGGTTTACTGTTGTTCCCCTCATTGGGATGTGTTGTTTGATTGATGTTGTGATGTGTATTCTCTCTCTTTGTTGTGTGTGTGGTGCCCTCTACCGTGTGTTAAATGTGCGTCTCTTTTCTCCTTTTTCTCTTTTTCCTTGTTACCACAGATCCAAGCAACTCACGGTGACAGTCATGACAAGGATGTCCATCCAACTGCGCCGTGTGGTGTACCTGTTGGTACTTCTGCAGTGTTATGTTTGTCTGGCAAATGCACAGGGTGATGGCGAAGGTTCCGAAGATCGCCGAAGAAGTGAAGAAGAAAATTTGGAGGCAGGATTAAGATTGGCGGTGGATCGCGCGTATGATGTGTTTGTGTATGGGAGCGGTTGTTTTTCTGTGTGGCAGGAAGTTGTGGAGGTATGCAGGGATAGAACGGGGGATGTTGGGACTGCCGTCAAGGGGATGGATGGGAGTGTTCAGAAAATCAAACAGATAGTGGGAAAAGGGAGTTTGACTTCATCCATTGATCCTGCTGGTTTGGAGGAAATCAACGGAGCGGTTCAAAAGACAAATGAAACGATGAAGACCACTATTGATGCAATCAACAATATGACCACATCAATCATGGACACAGTGTGGATGGCGGATAGTTGTTCGATTCCAATTAATGAGTGGAAGGGTGGAGAAGAGAAGAAATTTAACGAGACAAAGAATTATTTTTCAGAATTACTTGGGAAAAAAATAAATGAGACGGACGAGAGAATGATTCTCGCTATTAACAGCAGTAAAATATACGAGGAGTTAACTTATCTCGTTGGCAATCTCACTGCATATAAAGCAAATAGCAGTTTTGTCGCTAGGGATACTGGGGTACTGCAAGTGGTGAAGACAGCGTTGGAAGGTGCGATTGCCGAGCTCGGGAAATTGGAGGAGGCGGTCCGTGACGACTCAAAAGGTACGTACAGAGAGGTCGTAGAACTGATCACACATACCAAAACGGCGGGAGATACGAAGTTGAAAGAGATCAAGCAAAGGCTGAACAGGAGGTTGTATACGGGACGACACAAGACACCACCCGCAGACGTTAAAACGAAATTGGAGGCGGCAAAGAATGGAGAAAAACTGAGATTGGCGGTGGAAATGGAGGCTGCAGTAAAGACAATGGTTCAAGAACACGAAAGAAGGAAAGAAGCAGAGAGACAGGAAAGAGAAAGACTAGCGAAACTGGAAGAGGATAGGAGACTGGCTAAGGAGCAGGAGAGAATGGCTCAAGAAGAACTGGAAAGGAAGAAAATGGATGAACAAGAAGCGGAAAAGAGAAGGATAGCAGAAGAAGCGGAAAAGAGAAAAGCTGATGAAAAAAGAGCCCAAGAAGAAAAGGCTAAACAAGATCAGGAGAGGAAGGATGCAGAAGAAAAGGCTCAAAGGGCTAGAGAAGCACTGGAGAAAAAGGACAAAGAACAACTGGAACGGGCAGCGGAAGAGGCGAAAAAAAAAGCAGAAGCGGCCAAGAAGAATGACAACAGCCTCAGTCCTGCATTGGTGTACAGTCCCTTATTGTTGCTTCTCTTGTGTGTGCTGGTTTGCACTCTTGTTTGCTAATCGGTGTTCCCATGACACAGCTGCACAGTTAACCTTTGTTTGGGTGGACATGGATGCATTGTAAGGGCACTGTTCTTTTTATTAAATTTTAATGTTTTTTTTCTTTTTTTCAGTTGGATAAATCTATTGTTTGCATTTTTTTTGGTGAACACATCTATTGGACTCCCTATGACACTCATCACATGACAAACCATCATTTTGTGAGGGGAGTGTCCTCTTTGTTTGTTCGCATTATTATCTGGGCTCTGTTTTGCCGCCATTTACTGTGTCCTCCTGGTGATGTGTGTGTGTTCCGTGATATTACTAACTATTGCTTTTACCCATGGGAATGGTATACAAACCAATGGTGTTTTAATTGCTGTGACTGAAATGTGAAGAATGGCAGGAGGTACAAGACACACAAACACGCACACTACCAACCCTCCTTCTCTTTGTGTGTGTGTGTGTGTGTGTGGACTGTCATCATGTGTGCATCATTCCCACTGCTCGCCCTGTATGAAAGACGCACACACACACACCTACTGCAGGGAATTGTGTTATTGCCTCCTGAAGATATTCACATGGTGATCACGGCTTTCTTTTTGTTTTTGTTTTCATTCTGTTGTTATTTCTCCCGTGTGTGTGTGTGTGTTTCATTATAATTTCATTGCACGTGTTATGTGCAGCTGTGTGTTTCTCTTTTGCGTTTCCAATATACCTTGTGTATCTTGTGTGTTCATTTTTATGGAATGATTCTTTTTTTTTTCATTATATACAAACTGCTGCACAGACATCAAGAATAAAGATATGGGCACGGCAGGTTAAGTACACAATGATTTTCCGTTGTTAACTTTTGGGGTGGATTGGACTGTGTCCAGGCATTGCAGCCACAGTAAGTAGTGAATTTCTTTTTTTCTTTTACATCTTTGCTCTATTATTGTGTCTGCCTCACGCAGTCACACTTTTTTTACATTTTTTATTTTGGTATAAAGATTGGTGGGTTGTGGGTGTTTGAGTGTGCCCCTCCGTTGTGAGTTCCTTTGTGTGTTGGGTTGCTACTCACACCACCCACGTAATAAAAACACATTTCTTTGTTCCCACCTTCTCTCTCGGTGGTGTCACTCACGGCATTGCCACGGAGATATTACTGCCCTTGTGGTGTGTGTTGTTTGTTGTGTGGCTTGCTTGAGTGACTGCACCCTGCGAGGGGGATGTGGACTGAGACTGTTCCGCTTCGGCTTCACGTAATGGGTCTGTTTTTTTTTTGGGGGGATTGAGTTGATGTGCTGGTGTGGGTGAATGTTTTTCTCTGATGAGAGTGGCAGCTGTGATTATTGTATTGTGAGTGCTTTGTGTGTTGTTGGTATCCTATTGTTGTTGTTTTCTAGGGTTTTTCTGTTCCTCTCTGTAGGTATGGGACTTAGTGTACATTTTGGGGAATGCCGTGGTGCCTCTCTGACATGAGCATGTGAGACTGTCATTGGGTGTGTGTGGACTGTGAGTGGGAGGGACACCGTTGTGTTGCTGGACCACTCCACTGTGGGGTTTGTGTGTGAGCGGCATGCTTTGCTTCGGCGGGGCTCGGGGAGGGGCACTTTACGTCCCGAGGCGCTGAACCTTGAGGCGTGAAATATCATGCTCAGGGACTTTGAACTTGAGAGAAAAAGAAGAGTGAGGATGAGGAAAAAAAAGGGATGAAACCCGGCAACCAGTCTACGTGCGTAATGCTCGAGGCTCGTTGTCGGGTTTTGCCCTTTTCTTTCTTTTTTTATCCCTCACCCCAAGAAGGGAGAGGAGAGAACACACCACCCCCACAACCCAAGGCGGGCGGCCAACTTGTCAGCGTCTTGTGCGCAACAAGAAAAAGAGGGGTGGGGGGTGGCTCCCTGGGGTGTTTCACTTATAAAATGAGTGGGGTTGGGAATAGTGGAAAACTCTGGCTTTCCCCACTTCAACGCTGAGTAAGATGGGTTCGAAAGGTATTCCGCAAAGATGACCCTTCCCCGTTCCCCTCGTGACATGGTGCCGCGTGCCACCGAGTAAAAGGTGCGGTTGGATGGTCCACGCCATGAACAAAAAGAACAAAGGGAAGGGGAATTCACCACACCCTCATGATAAAGGCAAATTAAATTCTGCTATGGTGGTGATGTGTTAAGGCGTTCTCCGCCACTACCCTGTGTGTGGTGTGAAAAGGAAATCCATGGGGAATGCAGAAAAGGAAAAACAAGTATAATAAGAACACAACACTCCCCCATAAGAACATATTCCCCCATAAGAACATTTCGCCCCATAGGTATTTTGGTTTATTAGGAGATTCCCAACAATATATGGAGTACCTTTGAATTCCCTGAATATATTCAAGTGCTTGGTTTTGACGCCAAGATAAGTTAGCACACGATCACAAAAGTCTTTTTACCTTTAAGTGGCGATCTGTTGAAATATTGTAATCTGTAAAAGAATAAAGAAAAGAAGATTGCCACACTGACGTCGGCTTCTGCCCCAAACAACGCCGTTGCAAACAAAAGCGTTTGTGTGTCATTTTTTGGCGTAGGAAGATTGAGTGATAAACGATCATGCCCATATTTACCAAAAGAATCCTCCATGGTGTTCTTCGGGGCAGTGTTTGTGGGTGCGTGCGGTGTTTCTCCATTACCTGGGTTGTTGTTGTTCTTGTTACCTGTGCTTCCCCCGGACCAAAAACTTCGAATTGAAGAAATAGTGGCGATAGAAAACGCCATGTTATCTTATTGCGAAGCAAGAAACATGAGTATAAAGGAAAACCTTTTACCAGCAAAGAACCTCTTAAGTATATAAAGTATCGTGGGTGCTGGTGATGGTATTCTTCCACTGTGGTTCACGCGTCTTTTGCACAAAAGAGAGATATTACCAGAGAGCGGCAGAATCATTGAGTTCGATATCATATAAACACAGGAATCAAAACCATGAAGCTAGACTTTTGAATGATTGCGTGACCAATAAGGGTGACGTTATGTATTTTTTTCATTTTGTTTATAACTTCCATGGGGTTTGCGAGGGGTAGGAATTGTACAGAAACAGATCCTTGGTAATGAGTGCCTCCCCAACACAGTGTCAAGGTGGAGAGTATATGAATTTATTCAAAGAAACTAAATGCACTCACTAAATGTTTGAAGTGAGTGGTTTCCTTAAAAACCGAATTCTTTTTATTTTTCTTTTCAACACATGCGTTCTTGGGAATGGCATCCCCTTGGTGACGTTTGGCCATCGAAAGTTGGAGCCAATGTCCATTATCCCTTATTCTTTTTGAGGGAAGCCATGGGTCAGCAAATTCTCTTCTTGAGAGTTTACTTTTTCATAGGCAACAACCGTCATACAGCACCGGGTCCAGCAGAGTCGTACTGGGACGAAACTTTATCCAAGAAGGTCCTGGGGTGTATTTTGGTGTTCAAACTGCCTGGTAATGGTTTTATTGTAATGAGAATACAGAGACTTTGTGTGTATGAATACCGAGTAAGATATTGGAGTGTGTGTAGAGACGTTTATTTAATATTGTTTTGATACCATTTGTTTTCCACTTCTTCTAAATTCAGGGTGTTGTTTCAATATCTGTGTAACTCTGGGTGTGTTTTATTGTGTGAGTGGTTTATTGTTGTTCCCCTCATTGGGTTGTTGTTTGATAGCTGTTGTGATGTGTACTCTCTCTCTCTCTCTTTCTGTTTTGCTGTGTACCCACTGCCTTGTGTGTTAAATGTGTGTCTCTCTTTTCTCCTTTTCCTCTTCTTCCTTGGTACCACAGACCCAAGCAACTCACAGTGACAATCATGACAACGATGTTCGTCCAACTGCGTGGTGTGGTGTACCTGTTGGTACTTCTGCACTGTTGCGTTTGTGTGGCATATGCGGTTCCTACGGCGGGTGCAAACGGAGGTGATGGGGGTGCGGACGGTGATGGGACGGTTGTTGAACGGACAGAGCATGATGAGGTTGTGGCGGCGGAAAATACGGCAGAAGCATGGATGAAGAAGGTGAGTGAATATCTTGCGGCGGGGAAAGGTTATTCATCAATATGGGAGGGGATTGTGAACTCATCAAACGAAAGTTCCAAACTTGCGAACTCCACTGCGTTAAAGGTGAAGGATCTTCTTGTGGAAGTTGATAAGAAATCCGTGGAGGGATGTGGCGCAAATTGCAAATTGGCGGAAGGTGATGAAAAGAAAATCAAAGAACTGGTGCAGGAGGTTAAGGAGGCAGTTGACGGTACAGGTTCTTATGTTGAGGATACGTTGTGGGCAAAGCACATGGGTTCTCTCTCATGTGATACCTGGGTGGACGCAGTAAACAGATTCAACCAAAGTAGAGTCTATTATTTAAGTAAACTTGCTGAACCGAATAAAACTTACTGGACTCGGGAAAAAATAAAACTTGCGAGAATCAGCAACAAAACGTACCATGAATTAGAGACGATCACGGTGAAATACGGTGAGTTGGATGGTTTGAGTACTCGATCCGTGATAGACGGTAGGGAACGAATAGAAGAAACCAAGAAAACGATGGAGGGGGTGAAACTGCAGCTCGAAGGGATTAAAAAGAAGCTGAAAGATGATGGAGCGAAGATTGGCGAGATTGTGGAATCGGTCAGTAAAGTCGTGGAATCATGTACGAACGTTGAGAAGGTAACTGGGGATTGGATTAAGAATAGAAAGCTACCGAAGAAAAAGGACGTTGTTGCGAAGATGGAAGCAGAAAGAAAGAGGATGGAACCGCTCATAACAGCGGAGATAAAGGCTGAGGAAGAAAGGATGGTTCAAGAAGAACAGGCGAAACAAGATGAGGCAGCGAGACTGGAAAGAGAAAGGCAAGAAAAACTGGAAGAAGAACAAAGACTGGCTAGGGAGCAGGAGAGATTGGCTCAAGAAGAACTGGAAAGGAAGAAAAAAGCTGAAGAAGAAGAGGCGGAAAAGAGAAAGGCTGATGAAAAAAGAGCCCAAGAAGAAAAAGCCAAACAAGATCGGGAGAGGAAGGATGCAGAAGAAAAGGCTAGAGAAGCACTGGAGAAAAAAGAAAAAGAACAGCTGGAACGAGCGGCGGAAGAGGCGAAGAAAAAAGCAGAAGCGGCCAAGAAGAATGACAGCAGCCTCGGTCCTGCATTGATGCACAGTCCCTTTTTGTTGATTCTGTTGTGTGTGCTGGTTTGCACTCTTGTTTGCTAATCGGTGTTCCCATGACACAGTTGCACAGTTAACCTTTATTTGAGTGGATATGGATACATTGTAAGGGCACTGTTCTTTTTATTGAATTTTAAGTTTTTTTTCAGTTCGATAAATCTCTTGTTTGCACTATTCTTCTTGAACAAATCTATTGGACTCCCTATGACACTCATCAGATGACAAACCATCATTCTGTGATGGCGTGTTCCTCTTTGTTTGTTTGTTGGCATTATTATCTGGGTTCAGTTTTGCCGCCATTTACTGTGTCCGCCTGGTGATGTGTGTATGTTCCGTGATATTAATAACTATTGCTTTTACCCATGGGAATGATATACAATTCCAATAAACTTGTAATTGCTGTGACTGAAATGTGAAGAATGACAGGAGGTTCAAGACACACAAAGACGCACACTACCAACCCTCCTTCTCTTTGTGTGTGTGTGTGGACTGTCATCATGTGTGCATCATTCCCACTGCTCGCCCTGTGCGAAAGACACACACCTACTGCAGTCAATTGTGTTGCTTGACTCCTGAACATATTCACATGGTGATCACGGCTTTTTTTTTTTTTTGTTTTCATTCTGTTGTTTTTCCCCCCTGTGTGTGTTTCATTATAATCACATTGCACGTTTTATGTGCAGCTGTGTGTTTCTCTTTTGCGTTTCCAATACACTTTGTGTATCTTGTGTGTTCATTTTTGTGGAATGTTTTTTTTTTTCATTATATACAAACTGCTGCACGGACATCAAGAATAAAGATATGAGCACAGCACGTTCAGTACACAATCATTTTCCGTTGTTCACCTTGGGGTGGATTGGACTGTGTCCAGGCATCGCAGCCACATTAAGTAATGAATTTTTTTTTTTCTTTTACATCTTTGCTCTATTATTGTGTCTGCCTCACGCAGTCACTCTTTTTTT